TAAAAAGGGCTTCACCTGATTAGGTCGGACCCCCCCCCCCCAAGATAAACTCTTTTGATTAAATCGAAGCCAACTGATTAGGGGCCTTAACTATATCTGTAAAATCCCTTCATCTTTGTCATATGATAAAACCTAACATGGCTATTATCACATCATATTCACAAGCCCTGCCCAAACACAAGAGGAAAAGTATCACACGGGATGTCTCTATGTTTATGAGGGATATTGGGCTATAATGTTTTTGTTGTAACTTCTTTTTTCATGTTATCAGGTTGTTTTAGTTCCTTGTTTTCTATTTGTCTTATCTGCTTTTGTTCGGTTCCTCTTGTCTTGCCTTCTATTTGGCTAATCACATTTTTTAGTATTCCATTTGATTCTTCTATTAACTTTTTACCTATGCATCTTTGCAAAATTTTTTACTTGGTTAATGTCTCATACATACGTAAGTACATATATCCATATGTACACATTATAACTCCTACAATATAATGGTGTGATTTTTTCTTTAGTCACATCTTCTAAAGAAATTACAGGAAAAAAAATGTAGCTTTATATTTACCTACATATTTATAATTCCCATGTTCATCTCGCTTTCCTGAATCCAAGTTTCCACATGGTATTATTTCCCTTCAACCTGAAGAACTTCCTTTAATATATCTTACAACTGCAGCTTTGCTGGTGACTATTTCTGTCTTTATTTTCCTTCATTTTTGAAGGATATTTTCACTTGATAGGGAATTCTGGGTTGATAATTTTTCTTAAAGCACTTTCAAGATATTTGTCTCCAAATGTTATTGGAGACAATCTCCAAATATCAATATCATTGTCTCCAAATATCATCATCTCTCAAACATCATTGTTCCCTTATATATACTGCTTTCCCTCTGGCTGCATTTGAGACTTTCTCTTGTCAGTTTTCAGATTTTTAATATACTTGGCGGGGCGTGGTGGCTCACACCTATAATTCTAGCACTCCTCCGGGAAGCCAAGGCAGGAGGATCGCTTGAGCTCAGGAGTTCAAGGGTGAGACCCCGTCTCTACTACAAATAGAAAAAAATTAGCCAGACATGGTCTTGGATGCCTATAATCCCAGCTACTTGGGAAGCTGAGGCGGGAGGATCACTTGAGCCCAGGAGTTGGAGGTCGCAGTGAGCTATGAGGATGCCACTGCACTCTAGCCCAGGCAACAGAGCAACTTTATTTTTGTCTCCAAAAATAAATAAATAAATACATAGAGACAGGCCTTGCTCTGTTGCCCAGGCTGAAGTACAGTGGCACGATCATAGCTCACTGTATCCTCCAACTCCTGGGCTCAAGGGATGCTCCCACCTCAGTCTCTCAAGTAGCTGGGACTACAGGATGTGACCACATCTGGCTAATCTTTTTAATTTTTTATAGAGACAGGGTCTTGCTATGTTGCCCAGGCTGGTCTCGAACTCCTGGCCTCAAGTGATCCTCCTGCCTCTGCCTCCCAAAGCACTGGGATTACAGGTGTGAGCCACCACACCCAGCCTGTTTATTTTTCCTTCAATTTGGACATTTTGAGCACTGTATATTCTTCAAATACTTTTTCTGTCTCTTTCTAACTTCTCCTCCTTGAACTCTAGTTATGTCTGTATTTGACTACTTGATATCCATAGGTCACTAAAGTTCTTTCATTTTCATCTATTTTTCTTCATATTGGGTAATTTATATTCAAGTTCACTGACCTTTCTTCTAATGGGATTTCAGATTTTGTCCCAAGCTTATAACTATTGTCTGGATAATAGTTGTATCTCTGCCACTTTGAAAAGTGGACCCTTGTGTTTTTAATAAACCTCCACAGAATCTCTCCAAACACCATCCCTGCATTAAAGTGGATGGCACCTTACAGAAAACCTCAAGTACCTAAGACCGTGGTACCGCATAGCTCCTTGCAGAGACGTCTTCAGTGAGTTATGATTATGCGCTATCTTTTGAAAAAGTCACTAGAGCTGGGCACAGTGGCGCATACTTGCAGTCCCAGATACTCAGAGGATCGCTTGAGCCCCAGTTCAGGGCTGCAGTGCGCTGCGATCGCGCCTGTGAACGGCCTCTGCGCTCCAGTCTGGGCAGTACGGCGAGACCCTGCCTCTCAAAAAACTCACTGTGTTGTCTTGTATAGTGAACAGTGGTTGAAGCTACTGTTCACTGACTCCTTTTAAACAAAGAGCCCTTAACTGTTTAATTTCAGGAAACTTTTTCCTCTACAGAATGCTGAGCACTTAGCGTGTTCTCACTGTCCCTAGCGAGGGCTGTTGTCAGGTCCTCGCTGCACGATAAAGCCCCCACCTGCCCCCACGGCTTTGTCAGTTGCAAGGCCAGGACTGCGACTCAGTACAGACTGGAGATTTCCACCTGCAATGTAGTGTTGCCAGAACGCTGCACATGCCGGAGACGAGTAAAAACTCCTTTTTACTAGGCTTGGCTTTATCACTACTAATAAATGCCAGTCACTACTGGAAACCCTTCTAAAGCACGTGTTTTGTTTGTCCTTTCTAGGTATGATGCTCCTAAGAAAGCATTATTTGTCCACAGGAGGAAGAAACGGTCCTTCCTGGATTCAGAAAAACGAAACAAAGGCGACCTCCCCAGGTGGGCACGTTCAGCTCTGCAGCGTGGAAAACGGCGCCGTCTAACCGTGTGCTGTTTGTTGTACTTTGTGTATTTCCTCTTCACTGTCTTACACATTCTATGCTCTGCACTGTTAATAGTAACCTATGACACAGTTGTAAATATTCAGCTTTTTTTACATTTTGAAATACTGCCTTTAAAATAAAATTGTTGACTAGACATGTGTACTGTCTTCCTGGAATTAGAGACAAAGAGGACAGGCAGAGCGGCTCAGCCTGCAATCCTAGACCAGCCTGAGCAACTGAGCAAGACCCCCGTGTCTCTACAAAAAATAGAAAAATTAGCCCACCGTGGTGGGGCGCACACCTGTAGTCCCAACTTCTTAGGAGGCTGAGGCAGGAGGATCGCCTGAGCCCAGGGGTTTGAGGTTGCTGTGAGCTAAGATGACACCACGGCACTCCAGCCCCGGCAACAAAGTAAGACCCTGTCTCAAAAAAAAAAAAAAAAAAAATCAGACAAAAGAGATAGATAGATAAAGGATGGTAGCTTCGAAGCACTGTCAAGTTTGGGCAATACAGTTAACAGTTTAAAAAGCTCGAAATGAGACGTTTACACAAATCAAGGCTAGATAGCAGAATCAGTCCCAGAATCGAAACATCAAAAATCAGTAAAACCAATCTTTGAAGGAACGAGTGAAACTATAAGCTTGTATCTGCTGAGTCATTCTACCACGTACTATGGAATTCCTGTCACAAAATTAAACCCTTTGACTTCCCCTGAAAACATACATTATTTGAAATCTTCCCCAAGGCCGTATGAAGTTTCCTTCCCCACATCACACAAACAATACACCCCACACGCGCCCTCTCCAAGGGAGCGCCTACATTTCCTACGTCAGCAGTATACACTTCCTTGCAATCCAAGGCCAATGTCACCAAATGAGCAATGTCACCAGTGTCTGAACAGCTGACAGAATGAGTCACACACTCAACTCTGAATGAATCAGATGATCTGATTTTACAGGATGGCCCCAGCAACAAGATGAAGGATAAAGTTGAATGACTTGTGATAAATAACAAAATGGCCAGACTCAATGATCTCGAAAAGAGCAAGTATGCTGTTTTATGCTACAAAGATGTGTGGCACCGAGTGGCTCCAAAAGGCCACTTTCCTGGTGGCTCCAAGAAAGATTCCATCCCAATATAGAACATTTAGATCCACATCCGAACTGCTGGGGAACCACCGCCCATCTGCCATTAACCTCCATCTTTGGCCCCATAGTCACGAGGCCTTCAAAGAGGAATCAGACCTGTGTTACTACCCTCATGTATTAAAAAAGAGCATATTTACAATTTCTAATTCTATAATAAACGTTATTTTATACACATACTATGTCAAAATCTATACACATACTGTGTTCTGAGCTTCTAAAATTAAAAACAATCATAACGAACACGTGAAGAGCAATATTCATTGTGCTGTGAGGCGATTAAGTCACTTTCCTGGTGTGCACAGAGCAACGAGGGAGACGTGACCTGCACATCCAAAAGTAACAGAAATGGAAGAATATGCATAAAAAAAATCGTCCTCCCCCCACTGGTGAGGAAACCTTCACTGAAGCACCAAGTTTCAAGCCAGGCTTTAACAAAGAGAAGGGCAGACTCGGGAGGCAAAGGCTTAAGGCAACGTTTTATTCTCATAATGAATTAATCTCCACAAAGGGCATTTTTCACACTGGTAAATACACTTTAAATGTCTCAAGAACTTTACATCTCATCTCCTAGACAAGGCTGCCAGCTCCTTAAAGGCAGGGGATACTATCCTTATCTACGTTCCTCTCAGCACACACCTCACAGAAGTCGCACACAGCTCTGAGCGTTTACTGAGAGGATCACACAACAGCTGACACCTAAATTCCAGGCTAGACCCACCGCCTCGGCGCCTCTCAACAAGTACAGCAACAGGAACAACCTGAAGTTCCGGTGGGTTTGTGGAATCAACCACAGGGCATGACCAGATCTCCCAGGGACACGGTAAACAAAAAAGCCAGTGTTAGTGTTGTCCCACGACAGAGTGTGCCTGAGAGTCTGACCCAGCCTGGGCCCTGCCGCTTTGAACCTGATGGGTTCGGATTCCAGAGGAAGAACGTCTGGCCGCCCTCTGCAGTCCCTACCTGTGCCTCTCTGGGAGCCTGACGCACAGCAGAGACGTGGGCAGGGCTCAGAGAGTGGAGCTGGGAGTCAGAGCTCTGCCTCTTCAACCGCCAGCGTCATGCTTCACACAACTGGTCAGTAAGGAACGTGGTATGCTTTTCAAATCCAATCATTTGCAAATTAATAAGGAAAGTAATATATCAACATAGTATTCAGCTGTACAAGATGAAAATCTTAAGAATTTATACATGTATTATGTGGAACATTTTTATTCCTAATGTATACTTTGTAAGATATTTGACAATGTACAAAGAATACCCAGTTCTAGGTGGTGACAGTTTTGTATTATTATTTATTTACAAAATTTCACCACATAATAGGCACTACCTTTTAAAAAAAAATCAGCATTGGTCCTATAAAGGCCACCAGGATAAATTCTGAAACCTAAAAAAGACACCTTAGTGCCACTGCCACCAGGCTTATTTTGTTAACTAAAATCTGACTCCAAAGCCCACATACAGTTTCTAGGTCCAGCTGTGCACAGTCATTCTGAAGTACAACGACCTAACCGGATTGGTGGCCAGCAGAGGACGCGAGCAGTCCTGCGAACCTCTGTGGGAGGCGTGCGCGAGCCTGTTGGCCACATCCTTCCAGCTGCATCGCCCTGCATCTGCAGGGGACCGCCACGTCTCACCATTGTGCTAAAACATGGTTGCCCTGGGAAAAACAGGCTTTCTTTAAACCAGCTAGACCGGTCAGGACAGTGAGTAAAAAGTGGCTATTGGTAGTGAAAAACAGTTTCATTTCTTCAAACTTTTTCCTTTTCCTTTTCTGGACTCCTTATCTTTTTCTGGTTTTGAAGCCTTTGAAGATTTGGTCTTTTTCTGCTGGGGGGAAAGGATGCACAAAATAGTTAGTAACTGTATTTACCGGTAAATGAAATAAGTTCATCCCTGTAATAAATCTAATCTTTACCTGCAACTAAATTGAAAAAAAAGAGAGGTTGCAAACATCTAAATCTTGGACTATTGCTACCCCTGGGGAGCCAGCTTTCAAGCAACAACTGGGCTAGTTACAGCCTTTAAAAGCCAGCAGTAAAAACTGAAAAGCTATCTAGAACTAAGGTATGTTGCCTATGTAAGGCAATTTCTTAGAGGTAAAACATAGGTGTATTTAAGAAAGACAAAATAAGCAAGAGATAATTTACAAATAGGATGTTTACATGAAGAATTTCCTGTCAGTTTCAGATTAGGCTCTAAACACAGTCATTCTGCGAAGGGGCAGAAAAGGACGGGAGACACCCCCGTGTCTGCGTGGGCGCTGCACTGGCGAGGGCCGCGTCCCGGCCCTGCGCGCACGGCAGACACGAAGGGCGCAGCGCCCACGGCAAGGAGAGAGGAGGCCGCAGACTAGGGTTCCAAAACTATAACAATTTTAGTCTTTCCCAGCACAAGACAAGGATGTTTTGCATTGAGAAACTTCGATAGGCAGTTCAATGACTAGAGCAAAGCACAAATACCAGAAGGGAGAAATGGTTTTGTTAAGAAATGTTTTTCTTGAGCACGCCGTGGAAATGTGTGTCTGTGGATAAGAAAGCATACGCCGATCGCCAAATAAATAGAAGTGTTAGTTTTCTGACAGAACATACATATGGCCAACGACATGACGGCCTATTTTCTTGCTATTTGTTCTTCCACTGCTATAAGAAGCTGTTGATAAAAATGAAATCTTTACCTGCTCCACCTTCAACCATGATAAGCAAAAAACACTGAAGGATTTTCAACTTACTCTGCTACTTGCCAAATAGGCCCTATTATTCCCGAGGCAAGCTGTATATAAGAAAAGATCATCTACTCTTCGGTTCTCCTGTCTGTAGCTTAAAACACTACCTTGATCATGGCATCAGTTTCTACAGCATCTTGGTCTTTCTCATCCGACTGAGAGTCATCCTCATTTAACTCTTCGTTGTATTCAGAATCCAGCGACGGGCCTGTGCTGTGCCTCGCTGTCTTCACTGCCTGAAGTGAATACGGGGTGAGGTGGGCCTCCTTGTTATAAGCTCTTGTGAAGGCTGCTTTCACCTATACGAAAGGAGTAGAGGACGTTTTTTAAAAATCTAAGTGCCAAACAATTCTTTTCAACTTCACAAGCCTAAAGGCTTTAAGAGACCCCGGGGAGCCCCTTGCAACTATCTGTAAAATATTTACGCGTATACACGTAAATAGAAGTATATGCACTTGTCTGTGGAGAAGTTCCATTTTTTTCATGATATTCTTAGTAGAGCCCACGACTCAGAAAAGACTAAGAATCAATATTTGGGAGCTTTAGGCAAACAAAAAAATCACTTCTAGTCACCATTTCTATCTATTCAGCACTCCCACATTCCTAACAAAATAATAAGCAAAGTTAGGTATTAATACAAGTTGGCCTTTAATGACAACAAAACACCTAAGTTACCTTTACCACAATGAGAGTAGTTACTTCAAAATACTAAGTAACTTGAGAAGTCTTAACTTCAAGCTTCTAAACATAATTCCAGAATCAGTTCATGAATTCTAACAACTGCTATGAGGATTTACTGGTAACCATTACGTTAGGTCAAAATTCTAGAGAGGGCAACCTACAGAGAACATGTCTTCTGAAGCAGCATCCAACAGACAGGCACAAAAGTGAGGTGTTAGATATTACATATTCATATACTTCAATATACATATTACAAAAAGAAAAGAGGAGGTATGTTATTACAGAGCAGATTATCCAACTGGAATAAATACTTAACCTACAGATTAAGCAGACTAAGAAAAAGAGAAATTATAAAAATCCTCAGCCAGTAAACACGTCTTCATTTTTATAATCCATCACCTCCACCACACTCACTTTTAATTCCCCAGGTTCACCCCCTACCCCTATAAGGAATACGTTTGCATTTGTTCTTCAGATTTCACTTTTGATTTTCCACTGAGCATGAAGCAAAGGTAAAAATACAAATTGTAAAGTCAAATCCAGAAGTCTACTCTTATTATTGTACTCAAATGGTACCTTTGGATGGCACAGGCCATAGGAAGCCACAAGCACTTAAGGGAGGAAAAAAGTTAACCTTTTTTTAAAGCATCTAAAACATCTCTGAAGTCTCCTAGCACAGCCTGGTGATTACTCACTGACAGAGAACACGCAGGTCACACAATTTACCTTGGGATCCAGCTTGGAGAAGGGACTAGGTTTGCCTCCCCAGCTGCTAATTTCCATGATATTCTCAAAGTCTTCTTTCATCAGATAGTATGTGTCCATAAGTGCAACAACATCCCGTACTCCTTCTACCCCTTGTGAGGTCAAGGGCTGTACAAGTGCATCCCTTACGTGTGACAAATAATCCATGTTCACAGTCCTTTTGCTGGAGTAAGTTCTGACACCGAAACAAAAGAGACACACCTGCCGTCAGTGGCGAACTCGCACCAGCTCACGCTGCGCACACCCACACTGAGGCGACCAGGCAGAGTCCAGTCTGATTTCAACAACGCTCAGGGGGACGCCCGCTGTTCACAGCGAGCGGGGCGGGCGGGCCAGCCACACCGCCAGGGTAACGGGTGCACATCCGTGTACTCAAAGGGAATTTTCCACTTACCTGGATCAGTGACTGAAAAACCAATGCGAGCTCTGTTTCCCTCCTACTCCTAACGCCCGGCAACAGCAGTGCGTCTGTGTGTTCATGTGCAACGCGGCATAAAGATTACCGTTCCAGTTCCAAATATTGAAAGCATCAGTAAAAGGCAATGAAATTTCCTGCCTCAAGTGCGACTGCCACTTCTTACACGAGGGTGTGTAACACCTTCTGGTCTCTGATTGTAACATACAAAATTACACACGAATGCTTCCCTCACATTTCCTAACAGTGTTACTCTGAAATCTTCAGTTCTAGGGCAGAGTTTTCCCCAAATCTAAGAAAACTGCAGAGAATGTTCCTGCAGAATCAAAAAGTGATCCACACTGGCCAGTGAAATACTTAGGGAACAGTCTCTGATCTGCTGAGAACTAGAATGTTACTCTCTTTCTCCCTTAAATGTTGTCACTTCTTAAAGACAGAAAATATTACAACTGAACAAAACATTATTTCACATGCCACCATCCTAAATCTTTCCAACCCAGCTGAGTCCTCCTTCAAACCAAGCAATTATATGTATACATATTTTAAACAAGAAACCTCAAAAGCTGTTGGTGTCAGAACCCACATTAGAATCAGAAAAGAAATGATTCTTTATAAACTACCTATGGGTCCTGCTCCTGTCTTCAGGTAACTGAATGTCTGAACTATAAGAAGCCACATGGTTCTTCCGGTCAGAAGTCTAGAACCTTGCCCCCTGTAACTGTTTTATTACCTAGACAAAGAATTTTTTAAAATTCTATTTTAATTTCACCCATTTCCTCTAGATCTGGCCTTCCATAATCAAGCACATCTAGTACTTGAAGAGAAGTAGTGTAAGTCCCTAAGCCACAGTACCCAAGAAAATAATGAAATCACTTCTAAAATTATTCTCTTGTAATTTGTTACAATATTGTCATCTTCTAATAGAATCACAGAACGTTCAACCTAGAAAAGTCTAACGGTGCCATCTAACATACCTAAATCAAGGGTTTGTCACCTCAGGAATCTGTAATTCCCCTAAAATTACATTATTTGTGCCGTTGTACATTTTGGGGAGAATAAAGATTAAAGCTTGCAGATTCCCCCAAAAGTTAAGAACTAATAATAAAATTACACTTCCATTTTTTAAAAATGAAGAGAAACTGAGGCCTATAAAAGTTCAGTGGCTTGATCAGAGTTAAAAAGTAGGAAGCTCTTCACTTAGTTAAAAAAATCATGAAATTCATTATAAAAGTCCTTGCTGATAATATGTCCCATATATGGTTGAAAAATATTAATTGAGCAATTTTTTGTGCTAGGTAAGCAAGCATCAGTTCCTAAGCCCAGAAATGTGTGCTCTAATGGGGGAAGGACAGACATACAATAGGACAGCCCCAGAACAACATGAAGGTGCAGGGCTCAAAATCTGCCAGGAATAGAGTGGGAGCATCCAAGAGGGATGCCCCGAGGGCAGAGAGATGTATGACCTTTAAAAATGGCGGGCAGGGAGCAGAGCTGAGGGCAGGCACTCAGCCCGGCCAACAGAAGACAAGGGAAATGCAGCCTTTTCCAGTTTCCAGAGGCCACCCGCTTTCCTCAGCCGATGGTCCCTTTCCCCAACCTCCAAGCCAGGTGAGTAGCATCCTCAAATCTCTGACTTGACACTGCTGCCTCCCTTGACAAAGACCCTTGTGATTACACGGGGCCCACCCAGGTAACCCAGGATGATCTCCCCCGTTCAAGATGACAAGAAATTTGTGTAGCTTTAAGCCATTACGTTTCTGGTAATTTGTTACAGCAGCTATAGAAAACTAATATATGGGTGGCAAAAAACACTGATGCCATATGCTAGGAAGGGGGGCCTTAGCAGGAAGTAGAATTTTACAGGAAGAGAAGAAAGGCATTGCTCAGTTCAGCTCTAACCAAAAGTTAAGGGTGGATCTGGGGATCAAATATTAATATCTTCTCCAGGGACCAGAAAGGGAATTAAGATTACTCAAGTAGTTCTTCACAGCTAAAAATGAATCCCTAAAGTTCACCTAATATTTGTGTGCATGCACATTTTCCAAGTTTCTGAACTTTAACAAAATTGTACAAAATACTAGTATTTTTAACACATTGACTGCCACACTAGAAAAAAAATTTTTTTTCTTGGGGCCACAGTGTTTCATTACAAAAATAGGATAAAAACTTCAAAAACAAAACGATCCTTTCTAATTTAATGAAAAATTTGTTTTTTATTTTTTTCTGTGCATGAGTTATATGCAATTAAATTATCAATATTAATTATAACAGTAAGAACATCAAGCAAGATTTTCACAGACCAACTGCAGGGTTTTTGCCCAAGGGGCCACCCATCACGTAACGTGTGCTACAGCAGGGCAGCGTGAGTTGCCTGTGTACTACACGGCTCCCAAGGTAAAGAGACGGGTGAATTACTTATGCTTCACGAGGCCCTGGGCTCAAAACTGGCGTGAGTTAAATACAACTCACGTGGCAGTTAATGTGTTAAACTTCCCTAAACTTCTCTAAGCACATTAATTGTCAATTACTTGAGTGGCCTCTTCCTGTTACATGCTAAACTGTATTCCTCTTCCCAAATGAGTGGAATAGGTAAAAACACTAGAAAAGGCAAAAAAAAAAACTAGTTCATTTCTTTAAATAGTTCAATTTTTTCCTATTAATTATTCTGAAGCTGAGAAGTTATTCCTACAAGTAACAGGCATAGTCACAATAAACCATAAATAATAGCACTACCTCAGATTTATATAGTCTTTAAAATTTATCTTAAAATTATGGTATCTACCATCTGGCTTTACTCTCCAAAGTATCTTTCTAGCAAGTGTGATAGTGATCACAGATGATGTAACTCCGGCCCATAAAATATAAGGAACTTATCCAGGATCATTTATCTAGTGAGCAATAAAATCAAAACTAAAACATAAATCTTTTGACTCCTGCCATCCCTATCAGATAAAAGCTGAACACAGCACAGCAATAAAATGCCAGAAATGGAATAATACCACCTACCTGAGACTCATATGCAATGCCAGGTCCTGAACAATACGGTCATGTTTGCCTGTAGACGAGTGCTTCCCCAGCCAGCTCGGGAAGGTGGGGAACTGGGTCATGTACCCCCTCATCAGCTCTCCAGGAAGAACGCTGGCATAAATGGCCTGAAAAAAAAAATCGACTGCAGTCCAGAATTTATATTCAGTACAAAGTGACTTCCTTAGCAGCTGGTGACTTCCCAGCAGTCTACAGAAAATGAAGAACACTGTCCTCGGCACCTACTTACAGGGCAGTCAGGCCCTTTCCCTGTGTCTGATCTGTTGGGAAACTTCTCCCAGAGAAGACAACAGACTGCGGGACACACCTGGGTCCCAAACATGTCATGGCCCTCAGAGAGATCTTCGTGCCAACTCAGCCTCCTCAACCAGCTGATCTCAACACACCAGTTATCTCGTGGATGCCAATGTCGCAGCAAAAAATTAGCTTAAGAGGAGTAAGATGGTCTGCAACATAAGCGATTGATAGCATAGGTAGATTAAAGCATGGAAAGTCTAACGATTAGAGAATCAATTAAACTGGCACTTGAGAAAAAAACAATGCATCCTTACATGGATGTCTTCTATGTCCAGAGTTTCTCCTTTTTAAAGGCTGGAATCGTATTCTGCATAAATTTTATATCCTGCTTTATTCTAATGATATTCTCTCATAAGCATTTTTCCATATGACATAATCTTTATAAATAATTTCAAAGGCTGCACAATATTTCATCAAGAGGATTTATCACAGTCATTCTCCTGTTCCTGGACATGGAGATTTTCTCTAATTTTTTGCTGTCAGAACTAATGTTTTAGGAAATATTTTTATACATTAAGCTTTTCCTATGTTTAAAATTATTTCTTCAGGATAAAGTCTCAAGGTACAAGTATTTTTTTTTTTAACTTACCTCAGTGGTCCTGAAAAAGGTACAATTATTAAGTAAAGAAAAACTTTTTTTTTTTTTTTTTTTTTTCCAGACAGAGTCTCACTGTGTTGCCCAGGCTAGAGTGCCGTGGCGTCATCCTAGCTCACAGCAACCTCAAACTCCTGGGCTCAAGCGATCCTCCTGCCTCAGCCTCCCGAGTAGCTGGGACTACAGGCATGCGCCACCATGCCCGGCTAATTTTTTTTTCTATATAGTTTTAGTTGTCCAATTAATTTCTTTCTATTTTTAGTAGAGACGGGGTCTCGCTCTTGCTCAGGCTGGTCTCGAACTCCTGAGCTCAAACGATCCGCCCACCTCGGCCTCCCAGAGTGCTAGGATTATAGGCCTGAGCCACCGCGCCCGGCCCCAGAAAAACTTTTAAAAACTTTAAAACATAAGAGAAAGGATTCTGCTATCTCCAGAGTGAGTTCTTGGTTTCTGTTCTCAAGCAATGTGTGGGTAGAATTAAGAGAAGGGCAGGCATCCTGCAAGTCCCTTGCTTACAACTCAGGCCAACAATCCTGGGTAAATGTACAAGTAACATTCTTAATGTGAATGTTTGCCAAACTCTCTTTTTTTTGAGTTAAAGCTATCAACCTAAATATAGTTCACAATATAAAGCTGTCTCTTTGGCAAGGAAGAAAATCAGAATCCATGTATCAGAAAGGCGGCCACTGAGCCGCCCTGGCTGCACTTTTTCAAGGAGGAGCTACTTAGTGGCCACCTGGGAGAGCTAAACGTCACCCCCTGCCCCCAAAAAAGGATTCTTAAAGTAAACCAGAGCACATCAATCTTTTGATTCACATCTTACTTATAAACCAAAATCTAACCTTCCTATTTCCATGTGTCCATTTACATAAAAACATTTTTGAAACACTGAAAGTAAGGCCAGATTAAGAAATAGACAGTGGTGACCATAAAGTCCTTTAATCTGTTAGCAGACTGAATCTTTGCTGTAAGAGCCATACTGTTTACCTGGTATTTCAAGTGATCACAGGCGCTAAAAGCTGTATGTTTTGTTCTCTTTAACTAAACCAGAGTCTGCACTTTAACTACCTGTGTGGGCAGAAGGCTCCAGTTTTGCTTACTCCGGATCTGGCTGTCTACTAAGTCGCCGTCACATATGCTGTCTGCCGCTCGGCTCAGAAGCATCAAGTGCTTTTTCACGTCGCCCCTGCAGGAGAGAACCAGTCTGGATTACACTGCCATCCACACAGCGGGTCCCTCCCTCCTAGGTATCTGGCCTCTGCCGTGCTGGGAGGGTACCAGTCCTACCCCTCACTAGCTCTGAACACTCACCCTGCAGCTACAGGCTTCACATGTAGGTAGTTCTCGTGGACAAAGAGGGGTGCTATTGAATAATCATGAAAAAAGAGATCTGACTTGTCCATAAGTGACATATGAGCAGTCTCCTCTCCAGCTGCAAACACTTTCCGGGCAACATCAAATGGGCCCTAAAAAGAGGGAAGGACACATATACTAGAACGGACAAAATCCAGAACACTGACAACACCAAATGCTGGTGAGGATGTGGAGTAACAGGAACTCTCATGAATGGCTGTTGGGAATGTACAATGGTACAGACACTTTGGAAGACAGTTAAGCAGTTTCTTACAAAATTAAACATACTCTTACTATGTGATTCAGCAATTACGTTCCTTGGCATTTACCAAAATGAACCGAAAACTATGTCTATCCAAAAAGCTCCAAACAGATGTTTATAGCAGCTTTATTTATAATTCAAACAGTTGGAAGTGACTAAGATGCCCTTCAGTGGGCAAGCAGACAAACTATGGCACATCCAGTGGAACATTATTCAGCAACTAAAAGAAATGAGCTATCAGGTCATAAAAAGACAGGGAGGAACCTTAATTGCATATGACTAAGCGAAAGAAGCCAATCTGAAAAGGCCACACACTGATGTTCCAATTATATGACATTCTGGAAAAGGCAAAAACTATGGAGACAATAAAATGATCGGCAGTTGCCAGGGATTAAGAGGGAGAGAGAGGGACGAATAGGTGGAACACTGAGGATTCGCAGGGCGACGATACTACTCTGCACGACTCTACAATGGTGGATGGTGTCACTGTTCGTTTGTCAAAAGCCATCGAATGTCCAACACCAAGAGCGAATCTTAATACAAACTGTGGACTCTGGGTGATGATGATGTGTCAACGTAGCCTCACTGACTGTAACAAACGTCCACTGTGGTGCTGGAGGTTGACAGCAGGAGAGGTAGTGCATGGTGGGTGGGGGGTACACAGGAACTCTCTGTACCTTCCACTCAATTTTGCTATGAACCTAAAACTGCTCTAAAAAATAAAGTGCATTAATTTTTTGAAAAAAGGGGCTTAATCATTACTCTAATAATAAATTCTGACTAGTGACTAGGTAAAATGGAACACAGACGTAATGGACATAGACCTCTAGTTTTGGAGAGATTATTAAACTAAACCATCTGAAACATTATTCTGAAGAGTACAAAACCATTCAAAATATGAAGCCATATGTAAGAAACTCCAGAAAAGCCATTTATAACAGAAGCATGAGCATAAATTAAAACTTATCCCTTTGTCAAAATGCATAATACACACAATGACATCTGTGGGGAGAAATTCATTTGAAATAGAGACATTTTTAGCATCTTTCTATAGCTCTTATTATAAACATCCATGTGTTCTACAGGTGTATCAAGGAACTATAATAACTATTTTTATTAAGCTAATACCTACAAAACAAGAAGTGTTTTAGCTTGAGAAAGTAACAGAAATGGAAATTTATTTTACCAGTTTAATATCCTTTTTGGCCCTGTGAGAATCAGCCTTGGCCTGGTCATACGTTAATGCCTTATTTCCTGCACACCACATACTGAGATTGTGTAAAACCTAAAAAAATCACAAATAAGACAATGTCAAGATGGGAAATACTGCTACTCCCCCTCCTTGGAATCAATTCAAAAGAATCAACAACTTTCATATAATAAATATTTATTTTACCTGTCTGATATCTTGATTGGCTCCCAAAATTATTTCATTCATAGCTGGAGGGGGAATCTTTAAGCCCTCTTTAAATGCAATAGACATCATAGCACCCTGAAATTGACAAGAGGAGGAATCTTCAATGATTTGTTAAAAACTAATATAATCAGGTATTTTAAAAATATTTAGCAGGTACTTTTAAAAACTGACCCTTAAATAAACAGGATAGTGTGATGGGGAAAAAAATTTCAATCATCATACCTTAATCTGTTCAACCCGAGCTCTTTGAAAACGAAGATCAAAACAATAATGAACCAAAGAGCGAATCTTGGGATGATTTCTATCATTGCACATACA